GTGTGGATGTGCATGAGTGTGGATCGGGAGGTGTATATATATAGGCCTATGAAAAGATAAACTTGGCACGATATCATTAATAATATCAAAGTCATCAATACATAAAAAGTGTGTTGATGACTTGAACGTGACGCAGAAATATTTTTGGATAATTTGTCTAATATGTATTTAGGACATCAATTTATAAATCCTATCTCAAATTTCCCTTTCAAACATCATGTTCTTATTCATATAATAATTGGCACCATTTTTAGTTGTGTCGATAATTATGATATTGAAATGAAATCCTCTACGGTTTAAAGATTATATTGAGAAAAAAAACGGAAGACACTCCTTGAACGCATCCAGTATCCACTTGTTAAAACCAAATCACCATTTGGCTTTGTTATTGGTCTATTTATTTCGTTGAGCATAAATTGATTAATACGACTGAATTTGGATATAAAGAAGAACATAACAAGCACCACAGCATTACGCCAACTTACAATTTAATTGTGAAGTAATAGTGTTTGAACGCAGGCAGTAAAGAAATACAATTACAAACATTAATTATGTATTTAAATTCTGATAGTTTGGCAATAAATTGGAATTACTTCATTATAATATATATCTTAAAAACATATCTGTACAGCCAGCTTCTATTATTTAAAAAAAAAATGGTTGTTGAGAACAGCTTAATTTTCAAAAACGTAGGTACAGTGCCAACAAAATAAAATTAGTGTTAGTAATATAAATTATGCAATTGTGCTTACCTTCCAGGAACACCAAGAACAACAATGTGAGCACGGTAAACCATCGTAGATTTCTGGCACTATAAACACACATTTTCCAAACTAGGATAATCAAGGACGTTGTGTGATATTACAGCTGGGATGTAAAGCGACATCACCCAATAATATCCAAAACGGTATGGAGCTCACCAGGGCTGGCAACTAAAATTAAGCGACAGCTGTTCCTCAACGCGTCACAACTTTTAACAATCGTACAAATATTATGTGTTTAAAGAATTAAATTCCGTTACACCAACGAAACAGTATTGGAAGAAAGATGAAATTTGTCACACTGTTAACATACGAGTTTATCCAATGGCAATAATGTTTGAAACTTTTCTTCTGTTGTTAATTCTTAAGAACTTCTTTCAAACATGAATGAATATGAAATGTAATAACAGCTACTTCAGACGTTTAAGGATGCACTACAGCACACCAAGCAACAATGTACGGTAACAAATCTACGCTTAAGTCCTTAGTTCTTTACGAGTTACACTGGTTACTTCAAACACGTTTTTGTGATTTTTTTCGATCTTATAATCTGACAATTCTGCTCCTATTAAAGTTGTTAACACGGAAACAAATCAAAATATTTCTTCGAAAAAAGTTCTGCATTTAAATTATGTATCCTGAATACTTTCGGCTTACAGCAACATATGCTGTGTGGCTGTCTGTAATTGTTTATTGCAATAAACGCGTGGCTAGAACAGAAATCATATCCACATCAACATTCATCAAGCAGTTACGGTACATGCGATTAAAATCCTCCTTGAAATGTTGGTTTGGCGATATTACATGTATCTGCTGGATTGCTTTCAGATTTCTGCTTGTCTGTCCATCAAATATTTCATGTCGTCAAGATAATCAACGGTAATTAGATATTGAATCTTAGTAAACTGATTACAACTTCAATACGCTACATTATTATAGCTCTCATGCGCAGTGACATGAACAAACATACTCTATAATCATTTATGCACTTGTTAGGCTTTTCGTTTTTTCCCCTCAGATATTTATTTTGACTTGCTTTCTCCACATAATAGTTTTGAAATCGCCAGCAATACAATTTTCATTGGGGTGTGGTCGTGTTAGTTAATGATATCTTCCAGTATAAATGTCCAATATTTCTTGTTGGTCCACCCTGACTCATCAAAATGTATTAGATTTTTTGACCTATTTTACATTATTGCTATATATATTTTTAGTCTGCTTAACAAAATATAGAATTTGGTCATACAATATATGTTAAATATTTTAATATATGTTTCGTTATATTAGAGAGTAAGTTTGCTGCCATGATGAATTAGAAGAAGCTAAACTGTATGATTTAAGGTGAATACGCCATCTGTGCTTACTTGGTGAGTACATTATGAGAGCATGACCACGTTCGTACTTGTGTATACTTCTCTCAGATTGCTTTAAGAATATAGTGCTTCATTTAATTATCTGAAAAAAGATGCAACTTAAAGTTAAATATATGTAATCCATTTATCAATTTTAATCATTATCTAGTAATTTCTTAAGTAAACTTTTCGTCAGTCAACTTTGATAATGCATCTTTTACACCACAGATTCACACAACGTGATTGTTTCACACAGACCCTATTATTTTACATGGCCCGTGGTTCACATTACATTAATGATGGGTTGGCTAGTGTACTAATAATAGAAATAAGTGCGTGTGAATGTGTTACCAGAGGCTTTGGCATTTTGGATTGAATTGGATTGCATTTATTCAGTATATTTGAAAATGTCCTCGATAACAGGTAATTTTCAAAACCAGCTGTATAAGTAAAAGAAGACCTATGATCAAAAGCCTTTGAGAAAATTTTCAAGCAAATTCCGAAAAAATATGTATAATTGTATCAAGCAAAGCTTGTCAACGAAAAGTTCCATTTCAGTTTTTAAAAATGTCTCTGGCGTTACAAAACCTGCAATCTTTCGCTATCAGTTCTTGTATCATTTAGTGCTATAAAAGATTGAATGGTAAACAGTCTAGGTAAAAGAGACTCATGTTTATATAGGCCTATGTATATACATTTATATGCATATATGTATGTATATATGGAATATATGTATATACATATATTCATATATATTTCATATATAATATTTATTGCATTATTCCGCTTGCTGTTTCTGTGGTTTTTCTCATACGCCTTAAAAACTCTATATAATATTATACATTATATATACAAAATCTCGTTCGAGATCGAGCATTGTGATATTTTCTAGATCTCTGGCAGTCTAGTTACATGTAATATTAGTGCTATATAAAAATTGTGACGTCAGACAAGTTAAAACTAAAAGAATTAAAGAAACTTAAATTCTACTGGCACTTGGATCACCACAACGATGGTTAAGTGGTTATGACGTTCGCCGTGTATGCGCACCTATAAGCTTATCAAGCTTAGCCTATAGCTCCATTATGTGTGAGCGTTTCAGGAAGCTGTATGAGAGAAAGTGTTTGGGGTTAAATCCGTGGTCTAATGGGTATGATACTCGCCTTGATAACGAAAAGTTGCATGTTCGAATACAGCGAGAGACACTTATTTTCATACAACTAAATAAAGGAACTTTTTGTTTCAGGTGTGCTTGATACGATTATACACCTTTCTATTCGGGCACCGTTATTGTGTTCACGGTGCTAGCCTAGCAAACCTATATATATACTGTCTCTTATACACATCTAGATGTGTATAAGAGACAGGTCTTTATATCGTTTCTTTTTTCCACCTAACTTGAAGTCTTCATTGCGACAATCACTCACATCATCAAGGATGACTTAGCCCCAGGAATTGAAATTGTCTATAGAACGGATGGCAGACTTTTTAATCTTGCCCGTCTAAAGTTCAAGACCAATGTATCTACAAGTTTCCTAATCGAATTCCAATTATGCAGATGATAATTGTGTTGCAGCTTTCTGTGAAAAGCACGTGCAGATGCTGACTGCCTTTAATTACGCATACACAAAGCTTGGACTTACCATAAACTCAAAGAAAACTCAACCATTACCGATTGATAGAAACCAACAATTAGGATTGGAAAAACAATTCTGGAAAACGTGGAACACTTTCCACACTTTGGGAGTCACCTCTCCTCTAATGCTGTTCTTGACGACGAGATACAACACCGTCTAAAGTGAGCTGGAGCAGCTTTTGGACGTCTTCGAACACGAGTCTTCCAAGATCATGACATGCGAACAGACACTAAAGTGTTAGTTTATAAAACCAGGCACAGATCCAGCGAGGAGCCACGGGGACCCGTGCCCCCCCCCCCCANNCCGGCCCCCCCCCCCCCTACCCCACCGTCAGTGACGCCGAAAAATTAAAAAAAATTGAGAAGAGTTAACGGGAAGAAAGAAAAGGGAAAAAATGAAGTGTACCCATGAGTTCAGTGACGGATCCAGCAGAGGGCGGAAGGAGAGCTCGATTATTTTACCACTCACTAATTTTGAATTTTCTATTGATTGACAACGAACACATCGCTATATCCCCGACGCATAAATTAGGATGTAAAAAGGCCAAATGGCGGAGACCTAAAGACAGAGTTATTTTTAGCCAGAATGTAGTACCCAGCTATAGAACAGCTATCCATGCTCAACTGACTAACGCATACGCGTTCTCGTAAACGCCGTAAATCTGCTGGCCACCGACACTTAGGGGCCCATTTGATGCCCCTACCCATGAGGGTCCAGGGTCCTCGCTCTATATACCACCCTGATCCTAAATGGCTTTGTTAATAACAACATAATGTGTCTCTGACAGTAACTGTATGAAATACATTATATTAATCCAGTGGTTGTAGGGTGCCCAGCCGGCCAGGGCCACCCTACATTTGTCAAAATTTTAAAAATTTGAGATAAAATTTTCAAATTTTAAATCTGAGCGAGTGCCATTTCCGGGCATCTAAAGGTGCCATAATCATAATTTGCTTTGCGGCTACCCAGTATAGAATAGACTATAAGTCCTTTGATCAGACCTTTCCGATCGACGCCCGTGAGGGGAGGGGTGTCTAAGGGAGGAGGAGCATACGAGGGAGCATAACTGCCGTCGGGAGGAAGTCAATAATTTTGTCGAGAAACACTGCTTTGAAAAAACATTTTTATCGTCTGAGAGTGCCATTTCTGAGCGTCTAGAGGGGCCTATTCTTAAAATTTGCTCCAAGGGCCACTGATCCTTAGGGGCTCCTTCGGTTCTCCTACTCATATTGTTAGGTAGGGTCCTCGCTCTATAGCACCCTGATCCAAAAGGGCTTTGCTGATACAAAACAACATAATGTGTCACTGAAATCGACTGTAGGATATATAGCATATTAATCCAGCCAGTGGGGTGGGTTGCCCAGCAGGCCAAGATTCTCTTCTTTTGTAAACATTTTTTTTTAAATGGAGATAAAGTATTCAAAGTTTAAGTCTGAATAAGTGCCATTTCCGGGCATCCAGAGGTACCAAAATCATAATGCTTATATAGTATAGAATAGACTATAGGTCCTTGATTAGACCTTTGCGATGCCCGTGGGGGGAGAGATAGAGTGAGTGTAGTTCCCGTCGAGATGAAGTCAATAGTTTTTTTGTCGAGGAACACTGCTTTGAAAAAGCATATTTTTACCATCTGGGAGTGCCAGTTTCGAGCGTCTTGAGGGTCCTATTCTTAAAATTTACTCACCTCAGCCCCAACCGTGGTTGGGTTGAGGTGGTTGTGGAATGCCTGCCGTATTGGCCCCGCCCTCCACGTCAGAAAATTTCTGGATCCGCCCCTGGAAGCAGTGGTAGTTCCAACGCTCCTGTAAGTTTCAGATACCTGGACAACATACCGAACGCACCTAAGGATACTTGAAAAGTTCCATGAACACTGTCTTCAAAGAATCCTAAAAATCAGCTGGAACCAATGGCAGTGTCCTGAATGAAGCAAAAACAGCAAGCATCGAAGCCTTCATTATAAAAAAAAACCCAACTAAGATGGAGTGGTCATGTTGTTCGCATGGATGACAGCCGGCTGCCGAAGCAAATGTTATTCCCAACTTAAGGAAAATAAGTGTTAAAGTCAGACTCCGGAGGAAACAAAATTTTTGATATGTTGTAGAACTGATTTTTCTAAGACATAAAAAAGTAGTTTGATCAAAAACTGAGCAACGGTGTATGAGATACAGATTTTTGAATATTTAAAAACTGGGAGAAAAAGGTGTAAAAATGGGCGGTTACGCCCCCTTTTCCCCAGTTTTTAAATATTCAAAAATCTGTACCGTATCTTATTTACTGTTCACCAGTTTTTCGTACCAATTGATCATATATTGATGAGAAGCTGGTGTAGGCTATAGTTAGTGATTAGGTAAGTCTCCTCCAGCTTTATAGACCTCTGCAGGTATTCCGTGGAGTCCAGCTGTTTTGATTCCTTAACTTCATCAAGTGTTGGGGTACCGTATTTCTCAATGTATCGAGGTGGGGCTGATTTGGAATGTTATCGATGATATTTCTGTCTGGATCTGGATTTGATACTGTCCAACACTCCAACTGAGTCAAATGGACAGGTTGATGTGCACACATTTACTACAGCTTGTTAGTCGATCATATTTGTTTCCCGTATCTCTAAGATGACCTGTAACAGCTTAGTTGAATTCAATTTGGGTAATGCTCTCTGGGAGTGGGTTCCAATCGAGACGGATTTGGAAATTCAAATTCGATTATAAGCAAATGAATTTTCACACATTAGTACGCGATGGTAGGCCTACAACGCTAGTTCCTGATGCATTGCAACTCTACTTTCATCCATGCTATATCCGTCATCAGAGCACTTACAGCTTTATGTCAGCCGACTAAGCTTAGCTCAGTCGGCTGATATGGTGGTAGTATGGCAAGCCGTTTTATCATTTACCTCTGAATTGCAGTTAAGTCGAATGCATTACAGTTAACTGTAATTCAATTACAGTTAACTGTAATACATTC